AAGCTGACGTTCGTCATCCTCATCGTCAAGGTTTGTCGGCATCAGCATCATTAGGGGGCTGCTCGTCATCATCATCAGCAGCAGCGGCAACAACGTCATCAACAGGAGGTGATTCATCATCACCTTCATCCTTTTCTGACCGCAGGGTGCTGTGCGTCGTCGTCGTCATCATCATCATCATCATCATCATCATCATCATCATCACGATCATCATCATCTTCAAAACAACATCATCATCATCACCATCATCATCACGAGTTTCGTCATCATCATCATCAAGGGGGTGATTCATCATCACTATCATCCTTTGGTGATCGCAGGGCGCTGTGCGTAGCCGTTATCATCATCATCATCATCAGGGTGTGGTTCATCACCACCATCGACATCAGCATCCCGATAATGGCTCGCCATCATCATCAGGACGCTGGGAGTCATCATCATCAGAGCGCTGGGCGCTATTCGTCATCCAACTGATATTCGTCATCATCATCATCAAGGTTTGTCGACATCATCATCTTTAGGGGGCTGCTCGTCATCGTCATCATCATCAGCAGCATCAACGTCATCAACAGGAGGTGATTCATCATCACCATCATCCTTGTGATCGCAGGGCGCTGTGCGTCGTCGTCGTCATCATCATCATCATCATCATCATCATCACCATTATTATCATCATCATCATCATCAGGTAGGCGAAGTTGATCGCCACCACTATCTTTAGGCTACTGTTTCACTCAAATAGTCATTTATAACATTTCCATCATCATCACTATCATCACTACCATCATCAATATTAATATCATTTGAACACCTTTTAGTCTCAGGGTACCGTTTTTGGCTACCCAATTATCCAATAGTCATTAATATCTACATCCTGATTAGCTATATCTTGATTACCTACATCTAGATTACCTATATCTTGATTACCTACCTCCCGATTACCTACTTCTTGATTACTTACCTCTTGATTACTACTATTTGTAGTAGTAATTTCAGACATAACGTTTCCCCCTGATTGGGGTAAGGTGAATTTTCTTTATTTCGTTTTTTCATGAGTTTTTTTTCCTAATTGGGATTTTTGAACATTGAATTCTGCAGACGTTTTAGTGGGATAGGACTTCGGAGGTTATGGCTGGAACTTTGGTAGGCAGGGGGGTTTTGGAGACTCCAGGGTAGTTACCCACAGCAGGTCTGAGATCCGTCTGGCCTAAGTTAGGGGACAAGCCAGGGGAAGGATGGTAGGACTGTCAGCCTGGGCTCCACCTGGCCTTGGTAAGCTAGGGGAAGGAGATATAGGGCTGGCCAGTTGTGGGTATAGACTGCTAGTTAGCTGTCCCCGAAAAATTAACCCAGGAGTCTGCTATAGGGGAGCCTTATTCTAGAGGGGTGCTGCATGGCGGGAGGCAGTAGCCCTATTGGGAGTAGGGCAGATTGGGGATTGTCTGAGTCTGGGGCCGGGGTTGGAGAGTTGGTCGCCTTCAATCCCAGCGGGGGCAGACAGGGACAAGGGGTGGGCAAAGGCAGCCTCTAGGAGGGGATTGGTTGCCTTCGCGGATGAGGTGGAGGGAGGGGAGGGGATCTGTTCTATGTTGGGGCCGAGGGATCTTCCTCGGTGGAGGTAGCATGAGACAGGGTACAGTGGGTATGGATTGGTTTGAGCTGTGACCATTGGAAGCGTATCCTCGTCATGATCTAATAAACTCAATGTGCCAAAAAAGAACTGATAATTTTGAGACAGTTAAATACTTCAAAACCAGCCATCGGCTGCTTTCCAATCTTGGCAGCACCTGGTCTTCTTCTTTATTTAGGGTGTAGGAATTCAGGGATTGTCGAACCTAGACTGATAACTGCTGAAGTTGCTTTGTTCTGTGCTCCTGGATTGCCGATGCCAGAACAACGCTGGCCGGMGCTGGGGCATAGCCCTGTAACCTGCAATTGGCAGGGGTGGGAGGCCTTGTAGAGAGATCTGGGGTTTGCTGAGGGAGGAAAGCAAGCCAATGGTGAACCAGGGGGGGCTACCTTGACAACTTAGGGGGTGGGGTTAGTCTGGGTAGTGAGAAGAGATCAGCTATGGCAGTGGGGGGATAGGTTTGTCCTGTTCCTGAGTTGCAATATCCTTGTAAGGGAGGGCTTGGAGTTGTTCAGGATTAGGAGTTCAGTATGGCTGACTTAGCATGAGTAGCTAGTATATGCTTTTGTCATCATCACTGGTATCATTAGTATCATCAGCATTACAATTTTCGAAGGTTTCTGATTTCGTAAGTGCTTGAAGCACTCTAGTCTCAGGTTTTTCTCAGCCGAAGCCGGGTAATGGCCCCGGTGTTACAAACTGATGTATGTTCATATGGGACGCTGGGCCCGGTTCCCAGCACGTGCTGCTCCCCACGAATAGACTGGAGCTAAAAAGAAAAGAAAAGAAAAGAAAAGGAAAAA